AAAATGAAAAACCGGGCCCAAGAGAGAGGTAAATTAAAAGTTAAAAGCTACCGATAAAATGTAACTAAATTCAGTTAAAAGTTAACAGTTTGTAATGTAACTAAGTTAAGTTAAAATTATGTAACTTTTTCACTTAACTTTTATGTTTTTAACTGGACACTACCACAACCCTGGCTCTTATGCAAAAAATAATACTATAAGGATAAGTTGCAAACCGCATAGCAGAACATTTTCATACTTAAACACTCACAGTTCAGAAGTCTGATAGAAAAAATGTTAGTAATTGAAATTTACAATTTATTTGTGAGTAATTTGAAAGTGGCTGTATAAAACTGCAAAATTCTTCCACACGATTAAAGTGCGCATAAAAACAAAGCCGGAGGTTCACGGCTTTACATAAAAAACGAAGAGAAATTAAAAATATCACTTTATAAGTAATTGTGGTTAGGTTAGATTAGGTAACAGCTTCGCAGGGCGATACTTTTAATCTCTCTTCGTTTTTTATATAAAGTCGTGAACCTCCGGCTTTGTTTTTATGCGCACTTTAATTGTGTGGAAGAATTTTGCAGTTTTATAAAGCCAATTTTAAATTGCTCGCGAATAATAAATTTTATTAGACGTCAGAACTGACAATGAGTTTTTTAAGTATGAAAATGTTCTGTTACGCAGTCCGCAATTTATCCTGGTATTATTTTGTGCATAAAAGAGCCAATGAGAAGATTTACAAGCGTAAAAACTATATTCGAATGTGTCGGTAAAAAAGACGACTTTACGATTCTCTCAACCAGAAAATGAAAAACCGTGCCTAAGACTGTCCTGCCGGAAATAATTCTACAGAAAAAAATAAAATATACTACCAGAATCTAAGAAAGTCTACGTAAATTAAAAAATCAACATGAAAATGCTAGAATTAGGACACTTTTGTTAATTTTTGTAATATTCTACAAGTAAGAAGATGTTTTAATTCTTTAAGATTTTGTTGTTTCTCAAATTTTTCAAACTAGTAAAGTTTTGTACTAATTTTCACAAAATTGTACATTTTCATGCAATATTACTTGCAATAATTTCCTGATTCGAGAACATTGCAATTTGTGGTACTATTTCGTAGATATTTTTCCAAAAAAATTAATGTTTCGACGAAGATATAATAATTTCTACAAATTTCTATTTCAAGTCAATTTTTTGTAGTTATTTATAGAATTTTTTCCGTCAGGGTGTTGAAAAGGAATTTCGGTAGAAACGTTGAAATATCACTTCCACGTGATGTACAATTATATCGCGGGCGTAGATGGGCATTTGATTTCCTGCGTGAAACGCAAATGGAGAATTCTTAAGTCTCACTTCCGCGAGGCTGAGAGGAGCGTTTGTCGCGCGTTGTCGCGAGAATCTTTTCAATTCGAATCCGATTAAGCGAGCTCTGAAATCTGGGGATTTATCGGTTATGAAAGAGGTAACTGGGAAGCCGTGACTCTCGCATATACTTAGATTACATATTCGAATTAGATACGTCTCCTCCTCTCGTTTGCAATCCCTCTGTGGAATATGAATTCGCCTCTTTCTTTCGGCCCGATCGCGCACAGGCGTTGAAAATAAGTTGAAAATAAAACCGAGGCGGAGCTATTCTGTGCGTTACTTTGTATAGACGGTACACACAGCGCGGCGCGCGGCACATCCGAGATAGATAGAATTTCGAAAAACCATTTTCGAATCCATTCCCTCGGACGGAAGATCGCGGGATAGAAAAGAGTCTTGCTCGATTTTCATTAAAAGTTTCTTAGCGTTACCGG